TAAAATTTTTATCTCGTGAACCAGAAGTCGGAGCGGAAAAGTCCCGCTGGGAGGCACGCGCGCCACGATTAGTAGATAATGTTTAAAAAAAAAATTTCTAAATTCGGTGAAGTCTAAATACCGAAGTGCCGCGGTAAGCGTTTTTGACATGTACGCAAATGTCGCGGCTTGGGGTAGCGGTCAATTGTACGTTTTCTATATCTCGGGAACGGCTGGGCGGATTGAGATGGAGCCTGGGGGGTAGTAGGTAAGTTGGCTATGGGAAATTTTTTGGGACGGGTCATTTTGGTGCCGCACTTGAGTGTGGCGCCGAAATGGCCGGTTCAAAAATTCAACGCGTTATAATGCGTTTTTGAGAACTGGGGGGTCTTGGGGCCTGGGAGTGGTATTGTAGGGCTGGATGTTGGGAAGTTATGAATAGTTGACCACTAGAGTCTCGGGTGAACTTTTGGGAGTGTTATGGTCCAAAGTGTCCGGGTCAAAAAGTTGACTTTTTGCAACGTGAATTAAAACTCGATTTCAATAGCCAGATCGAAAGAGCGTCCCCTGGCGGTCAGAAAAAGGTATAATATGTTGGGGGTCCACTTGAGTCTCAAAAAGTTATAGCCGATGTGGCAAAATGTCCGAAAACTTTATGAGACTCTAACGTCCCGGGGAAATTTTTTAAAATTTTTTCGAGGCCGGATTCGTACTCAGCGGGTGCGAGAGCACCATATAGGTCGAATTTCGGTTCAAAATTCGAAAATTTTGTCCCCGCCCTCAGAACCAAAGGGGTACCCCTTTTGGGGAAAATTCGCGAAATTTTAAGTGGCCATAACTTTTTTTTGGATTGATGGATCGGGATGAGGTCTCCTTTATAAAATCAAGTAAAAAATTAAAAATTTTTTAAGCCGAAAAAATTTCGAAAAAATTCGAAATTGGGCCCGAGGGGGTCGGATTTCGAAAATTCGAAAAATTTTCGGTATTTCGTAAAAAATTCTTGATTTTTGCCGGCGTTTCGGGGCATAGGTATTTTTCCTGGATAGAGCAGATTTTTCTGCATAGAATAACCCTTACAAATATTCAAAAAAGGTTAACTTTGAAAAAGTTATGATTTTTTGAAAATTTGGTCGATTTTTTCGGCCAAAATTTTCGACTAAAAAAATATTTTTTCCAAAATGGGAATAAATGGGCCAAATGTTATATCAATCGAAAGCCCTTACCGAGGGGAGTCTAAAAATATTTTTTCTAAAATTTTTTGACCATTTTGGCAAAAGTTATAGAGGGTTGAAATTTCGGTGTTGGGTGGTACCATACCAAGTGGGGTACCAAAGGAGGGGTAATAAATAAAAAATACTTACGTTATGTTGTAGAGCAACCTCAAATCCATCGAAAAAATATAAAACTTTAAGAGGGACCACTTGAGTCTGCCAAAGTTATGTGGGTCAGAGATTTCAGTGTGGGGGCATTTTTGGGCCGAAGGCTACCAAAAACCACAGTATCCTTCTAAACGCTGGGTTTGGGGGGCCGAAGGCCCCCCAAACGCCCCGAGTAAACCTACCACAGCCACCAAAAGGCACAGTATCCGCTAAACGCTGGGTTTGGGGGCCGAAGGCCCCCCAAACGCCCCGAGTAAACCCACCACAGCTACCAAAAGCACAGTATCCATCTAAACGCTGGGTTTGGGGGCCGAAGGCCCCCCAAACGCCCCGAATCAACCCACCAGAGCTACCAAAAGCACAGTATTCGTCTAAACGCTGGGTTTGGGGGGCCGAAGGCCCGCCAAACGCCCCGAGTAAACCCAGCACAGCTACCAAAAGCACAGGATTCGTCTAAACGCTGGGTTTGGGGGGCCGAAGGCCCCCCAAACGCCCCGAATCAACCCACCACAGCTACCAAAAGGCACAGTATCCGTCTAAACGCTGGGTTTGGGGCCCCGAAGGCCCCCCAAACGCCCCGATAAACCCACCACAGCTACCTAAAGACAAAGTATCCAACTAAACGCTGGGTTTGGGGGGCCGAAGGCCCCCCAAACGCCCCGAATAAACCCACCACAGCTACCAAAAGGCACAGTATCCGACTAAACGCTGGGTTTGGGGGGCCGAAGGCCCCCCAAACGCCCCGAAACAACCCACCACAGTTGCCAAAAGGCAAAGTATTTTATTAAACGGTGGGTTTGGGTGGCCGAAGGCCCCCCAAACGCCTCGAGTCAACCCGCCACAGCTGCCAAAATGCATCACAGCTTCCAAAATTACAATTCGTGCCTTTGGGGGCCGAAGGCCCCCTAAATGAAAAGCCAAGGATTCTAAACACATTTAACATAAATCGCCAAGCAAAAACTCCAACCTAGCGTCCTTTTAAAGCCGCAGGCTTTCCACGCGCGTCCCTGGACGCGCCTCCAAAGCTCTAGCAGCGCGCGAAGCGCGCCCCAAAGCCGTCAGGCTTTCCAAAAACAAAAAGTATGGTATCAAAGGCTCCCCCCGAGAATACCAAACCGCCAGAGTATTACAACCCAATTCAGCTACTCACCCTGCAGCTAGTTGTAATTATAAAAAAGGAAGTATTTTTGTTGGATGATTTGATAAATATAGTCAGAACTAGAGCCCGGATGGTGCTATACTACGACGGTATTTTTCGGTATTTCAGTACAAAATATCGTGTAGCACAAAATTCCGGGCTCTAGACAGAACTATTGTATATCCCTCACACTTTTTAATGCCAGTTTTTCCAAGTCTGGTTCTCTCTCGCCTAATCTGACACTCAGCTTTATGTTAGTCTCACTTAGCATCTTCTCTGCTTAAGTCTAAAAAATTCCCTTATTGTCATGTATTTGGAACACACGGACCAGCTCTTTCGCTTTTTAACTTTATTGACATTCTATTGTATATATGAAATTTTCTATTGAGGTTTAATAAAATTTTTAAAAAATATTTTAATTTATTTTTTTCTAATTATTTCAACGTAGGTAAATATTAAAATAAAGTGCAACATTTGACTTTAAATATAATCGTCTTATTTATTTTTTAATTTGTCTAATTTTATGTATTAATTGTTTTATTAATTATTTAAGTAAATAAAAGGAACAATTTTTGTTCCTTTTATTTTTTAATAGTGTAATCCTCTTTTTCTGATAATTTAAAAAAATGTTTAAAAAAAATTTTAATTATTGTGATAGTGCACTTTAATTAACTGACATAGAAATTTAAGAATTAAAAAACAGCCGGATGCTTGTGTAAGATGAACGTGTAAGATAAGTTAAAAACCTCTATTTAATAGACATTTTTTTAATATTTGGCTGGCCCGAGTGGGAGAACTATTCAAGCGATACATCCCCAACAGGGGTGGGCGCATTGCGTTTTGCGTATTGCGTTTTGCGTTATTTGCGTTAAATTTTGGCCTTTTTTTGCGTTTTGCGTTTTGCGTTTTTTTCGATGAAATTAACGCAAAAAATATACCCAATCTGAGGACAAAATTGGAGAAATTTTTCTTCTTGACCTTCCAAAATTCTGAAAATTTTCGCCTGCGGCGCTAAAAAAGGAAGAAATTTGGCTTGCTGGCCTTCCAAAATTCACAAAATTTTCGCCTGCGGCGCTGAAAATGAAGAAGGATCAGGAGTGGTTAAGTCGGGGATTTCTAGGGATATCTGGGAATCTATCAATTTCGAGAAGATATTAATGGATTGTCAGAATTAAACAGGTCTTCGAGTGATTAAGTTGATATGATAAATATATCTAGAGATTAATAAATTAATTCTTCCCGTTAATCTTCTAATCTGGGGGCAAAATTGGAAAAAATCTGTTTTCTGGCTTTCCAAAATTCTGAAAATTTTCGCATGCGGCGCTAAAAAAGGAAGAAATCTGGCTTTATGGCCTTCCAAAATTCCTAAATTTTTTGCCTGCGGCGCTAAAATTAGAGTATTTAAATATCAATTTTCCATCATGGAACGGCTGATATCGTTCATAATCCCTTTTATCCAGGATAACTCCAAATCAATACCCATCCAACTTACATGTATCACAAAGTCGAGTAGGAAACGCTGACTTATAGTAATACATTATTTTAACTGAAAAATGACTAATACTTGATTAAAAAAATTTTTTCCCTATTTTTGCGCTCTTGCGTTTTGCGTTTTGCGTCTTGCGTTATTTGCGTTAAATTTTGGCCTTGCGTTGCGTTTTGCGTCTTGCGTTTTTTGAGATTGTCTCTTGCGCCCACCCCTGATCCCCAATTTAAGATTGACTTCCACTATAGAATAGTGGTATTCAAACGCGTTTTTTCGGTATCGGTATCGGTATTTTCGGTAAAATACCGATACCGAAAAAATACCGATTTTTTAAAAATTGTTCGGTACCGTATTCGGTATCGGTATTTCGGTAAAAATACCGCGGTATTACCGAAAAATACCGCCGTAATACGGTACCGTGAATAACACTACTATAGAATACTCTTTTTCAGTCTATAGGAGAAACTGTGTAGTAAGTAAGGTCCATCCCCGTCCTCCCCCATGGCGCTACCTCCCCGAAAATTTTCTCTGTGGCCCCCTTCCCCACGTCGAGGAACAACCCTAGTAGTGAGGTCTGTATACCTATGTAATATTAGATACACCTCTATTTAATAGACGTTTTTAAAATTGGTTTGGTCAGTGAGTGTAGGGGACAGTCTAAAAGATAATAACCTCCTCCTATTTAATCTAAGTGCATTATAAGATTTTTGCAGCCAAAAAGATCTAACTTAAGAGTTCAGTTTAACTATAACATTTCTCTTTTTAAAAATATTTTATTTTTTATAATTTAAAACATTAAAAAATTTAATTTAACTCTAAAAAACACTTGGAAAAACAAATGTTTTTTTTTTCTAAATTTCAATTTAAATGTACTATAAAATTAATTTTTTTTAAATTTAGAGTGCTACTTAAAAATTAAATATTTTTTCAACACCTTTTTAAGTCAAAAAAGGACTGTAAAAATAAATTTTTAATTCATTTTTAACAAAAAATACCTCATTTTTAAATTTATTTTTGAAAAATGTTTTTTTGGTTTTTTATTTTAATTTTTGGATTTTATTTTATTTTTGAATTAATTAAACAATTAATTGAATGGGTAAATTTTAATTAATTAATTTTTTATAAATTATGGTACTCTAGGGTTATCTCCTCTCCTTCAATTTTATTTTTCTTCTCCTTTCTTCCTATCCCCAAAAACGCTTGGATCAAAGTGTCACACAGCTAAGGGGGTTATGGCATATACCCAGGATTATGGGAATAAGTATCCATCTTTGCTTTTTAGAAACTATGGTTCGGCAGTATACGTGTGCGCCAGACGTGGGTCGGAACAGTCAGAGGTGTCGGAAATCGGAAGAGCCGAAAACCGAAACTAGATTAAAAGTCGGAACTCGAAATTTCGACCCACCTCGCTCTATTCACCTAAAATATTCCTGACACTGGTTCTAGTTACAAAAGATGGTATGCTATGACATAAATTCACTTTGACCCGTTTGTACTTTTTTGGAGAAAGCAAAAAAGAGAGGAGGAAAAATAAAATGAGGGGAGATAACCCAAGAGTACCTTAATTATTATAAAAATTTTATTTTTTAAAGCTTTTCCCAATGGATTTACAAGGAAAGGTTAAAATAAATTATAGTTTATTTATTTAAAAATTTAAATATAAAGGCTGTAGTAGTAATAGGCGCTACAACAGGTTTTGGGCATCAATTTGTAATTAAATGCGCTTCAAAGGGGATGACGGTGTTTGCAGCTTGTAATTCCCCTAATGTTTGTATTTTTTAAAATTATTCTGATGTTACAAATAAAATTCTGATTTATTTCTGATTTACAAAAAATATTCTGATTTATTATTCTGATTTTGCAAACAGAATTTTGTTTAAAAATTCTGATTTATTATTCTGATTTAAAGAAAAGAATTCTGATTTTAAAAACAATATTCTGATTTTTTAAATTCTGATCTTAAAAAATAAGATTCTGATTTTATTCTGATCTGCAAACTATTCTGATTTTAACTTAAGATTTTATGAAATAATTCTGATAAAATTTCTGATTCTTTTTAGACTTACAACCAAAATATTCTGATTTTTAATTCTGATTTTAAAAAAGAATTCTGGTTTACAAAATTCTGATTTTAAAAATAAATTCTGATCTTAAAAAGAATTCTGATTTTGAACAACTTATTTAATTTTTAAAGGGTGTTCAAAAAGTAGTTCAAGCAACTTCCCACCTTTCTGGTTTCGTCCATGCCCACTCCCTCGATTTATCCTCAACAGATTCCGTTGAAAAATTTTTTCGTCAAGTAATAAATCAAATACCTCCTGGCACAGGAATACATGCTCTAGTAAATAATGCTGGAATTATAAGGGCTGGGGCAGATGACTGGTTAGCTATGGAAGATTATGAACATGTTTTGAGAGTTAATTTATTGGGGCTGATACAAATAACTAAATTATTTAAAGAACATATTAAATTGGCAAAGTTTGTTTTAAGTATTTTTAATGGAAATTCTGAAAAAAATAATTTTTAAATTAATTTTTGTGAGTTATGAGAGATTATTGTAGTTGAGAGCGATGCTTACGCGAAAATCTATAAAATCGCTTAGAGTGCGCCTAAAATCGTGAAATTTTGTGTGGATATACTCAATACTGTTAACTAATTTGTCTAAAAATTTCAGAATTTTTGGTTAGGTATACACCAAATTGTGGCCAAAAAACTAACAAAAGAATGGCAATTTTACACAAAATTCTGATTTTTGAGAAGAGTTTCCCATAAATAAATAAAAATATTAAAAAATTTTTTTAATTCGTACATAATACACTGCTCCACATAACTATAAGTTCACCCTGAATTTTCGTTTTTCTTAGCTTCTTTCAAATCAATCGGGCTGATTTTTATTTTTTATTTATTAAAGCGGGTTGCAATTCATATAAACCCGAGAAATCGAAAAAATTTCCATCTAAAAATTTTTTATCCAATTTTTTCAAAAAACACCCTCCACATAACTATAAGTTCACCTTCAGAAATCACATAAGGAATGATTGAAAAATTCTACAAAAATTCGTGCAAACATTTTCATATATAATAAGTGGAAAATAAAAAAGAACGAAGTCTGTAAGTGCTTTTTTCATCAAAATCCAAAATCTCGAAAATCAACGAGAAATGGGGGCTACAGTACTTTAAAAATATTTTTACAACTGTAGACTGTACTTAAAATTTTTTATTATAGTCCATCTGAAAGCCCACAAAATTTGCTACTAAAAACAGTTGGTCCTATCATAGGGAAAAATTTTATCACTGAGGAAACACCGGTTAAATTTAGAAATTCGAAATAATGACATTTTGTGGGGTGATTTGGGAGAATTTATTCATCATCTCATTTAACCCAAGGCTCCTCGAAGGTAGAATTTTTGTCCTGGATAGGACCAACTGTTTTTTGTAGCAAATTTTGTGGGCTTTCAGATGGACTATAATAAAAATTTTTATGTACAGTCTACACTTGTAAAAATATTTTTAAAGTACTGTAGCCCCCATTTCCCGTTGATTTTCGAGATTTTGGATCACGATGAAAAAAGCACTTACAGACTTCGTTCTTTTTTATTTTCCACTTATTATATATGAAAATGTTTGCACGAATTTTTGTAGAATTTTTCAATCATTCCTTATGTGATTTCTGAAGGTGAACTTATAGTTATGTGGAGGGTGTTTTTTGAAAAAATTGGATAAAAAATTTTTAGATGGAAATTTTTTCGATTTCTCGGGTTTATATGAATTGCAACCCGCTTTAATAAATAAAAAATAAAAATCAGCCCGATTGATTTGAAAGAAGCTAAGAAAAACGAAAATTCAGGGTGAACTTATAGTTATGTGGAGCAGTGTATAAGGAAAAAGGAGAATACTGTTTGTACTAGCCAGGGGATCTTTTAAAATATGGGCGAAGGCATCGCCTCGAAAGCTAAATAATCGGTAGGTTAACTGTATATTGTGAGCGAAAGCTCTTAGCAATAACTACCAGGAGCTCTTTTACCTCTCTCTTATTATAAATAAGGAGAAATCTAGTCTAGTCTAATACTTTATTTTTCAATATTAAAATTTTTTAGAGGCCGTATACTCTTCTGTTCGAGTATATGTGGAAGAATTGCCTTTCCTTACTATGGTCCCTATACAGTATCTAAATTTGCAATGGAAGGATATTGTGACACAATACGGTCAGAATTAGTCCAATATTTAAAAGAGATTTTATTCATTTTCAGTCGAGAATTATCCCCTTTTGGAGTTAAAGTCGCTGTAGTAGAACCTGGCTATTTCCGTACCCCAATAACCAATCCAGACCATATCCCCAATGAAATGGAAAAATCATTCAATAAATCATCACAATATATTAAAGAACAATACGGACATAATTTTATATTAAAAAATAAAGAAATAGCCAAAAATCATTTATCTTCTAAAGCAAACTCGCCAAGAGTTGATTGGGTTGTTGATGTGTATGTTTTTTTACTATTTTTTTTATTTATTTTTATTTGAAAAAATGTAAAGGATTAATTTGAAAAATGTTTTTAATTAAAAATATTATTTTACTTTACTTTTTATTTAAAATAAAAATTGTTTTATACGTGTGGGGTTCGAACCTCCATCCTTTAGACAGTGAAACAAGGACCTTTCCGACTACACCACGAAAATAACGGGGGGTGTTGTTTTTGCAAATTTTTTTCCAACTTGTTTTTCCAACTTTTTTTCAAACCTTTTTTTCTATTCCAAAAATTCTGATTTTAGAACTTAAAAAAATAAACTTGAATTAACAAATAATTCTGATTTTCAAACCTTAAAAAATAAACTTGATTTTTCAACTTATTTCTTTACAACTTTTTTTCTATATTCTGGTTAATTCTGATTTTAAAACCTTAAAAAAATAAACTTGAATTAACCAATAATTCTGATTTTTATTTATTTTTATTTTTAAAGCTATTTTCATGCCTGTACAGCTATATTTCCCCGTAAAAGATATGTTGTTGGTATTGATGCTAATTATGTGTAGGGGAAAAATTAATTTTAAAAACTATTTTTTTATTTTCAGAGTAATTCCAATTTCTCGTTTACCAACAGAAATACAAGATTTAATTTTTTGGTTAAATTCAATAATTTTGAAAAATCCGTTACCCAAAATTTTGCACAATGGGGGCTGTTTAAATGCCAAAATGGTCCATAGATGGATAAAAAGTGCAAATGGATTTGTGGCTTATTTGGAGGGGGAGGAGAAGGAAAGGTACGGAGAATAATGATTTTTTTGTAAAAATTAGACCTCTATTTTGCGTACCTCAATATAAGCGACTATGTACGTTGTATAGAGGTTAATCAGAAAAATTGAAAAAATAATTTATAAAATTTTTTAGATAAAAAAATAAAAAAAATTTTAGTTCATTAAATTCTTCCGGCTATTGGGAGTTTAATCAAAATAGCGAACGCGAAGAAGAAAAATAAAATGAACTAACTATGTATAGAAATAATAAAATAATATTCTTTTTTAAATTTTAAACAATTTCTTTTATTAATTTACATGGAAAAATTAAATTTTAGTGGAAAAAAATTTTTTATAAGTAAGAGTGTTAAAGGAAATTCTAGAGGTACTCTTGTACTAAGATAACGGGGAATTGAGAGGAGATATTGGGAAATTTGATTGCATCAGTTCATTGCATCAAATACTCGATACACTCCAATTTATTACTTTGTTGGAATCTTAATTTGTTTCATTCGACAAATGTAAATCGAAAGGAAAAAACCGTGAATACCGAAATTTCGGAATTGCTGTAAAATAAAAAATTAAAAAAAATAAATTTAAAATCCAAATGTCAAGTTTAATCTTCTTGTGAATTTTCTCAATTTTTTCAGTTTATTTTTCATATAAAATAGCCTTGTAAAATTTTTTTCAAATTTTCTAATCAAAAAATTGGGAAAATTCAAAAAAAGGAAGAGAAGGGCTGTTTTCTTCCTCTTCTCTCTATTCATGTCATTTTTTATTTGACTTGTTTAGAATTTCTTTCGGCAAAAAAATTTTTTATTGACTCCTCCATTGACTCCTCCATGAGTATAAAACAGTTTAATTTTATAAAATTTCACGTATTTTTCTTCTAAAAAATTTTCCGTAAAGAGATTTTCTTTAAAAAATGTTTGTTTTTGGTAGCTATTAATTCTTTTTTAGTTCAGTTTAGCATTTTTAAAATACAACAATTAAAAATATGTACACGAAAATTAATTTTTAAAAATTAAAAAATCCTCCCTTCTCATTTTTTAAAGTAGAAAAAAATTTTTTTTAAATTTTTTGATGTTCATTTTCAGACTGATTTTTATAAATTTAATTTAATTTTGTATTTCTCTCTTTATTCCCATCAACTTTTAATTTTAATTAATCTTAAAAAATAAACTAATTAAAATGAACAACAATCCAGCACCATTAAAAGAAGTAAATAAAACTGAAAATTTAAATAAACAACCACAAAAAATTCGTGAAAAATTAGTTAACTCTGTCTTGGAATTTATTAATACTCATGAAATAAAAAATTCTTCAAGTGATGAAATTGAAGCGTTTTTGCATCGACATTTCTTTTTAAAAGATTGGGAGGTTGATGAAGTTATTTCTAGAATAGTTGAACAAAATGTAAGGGAGGGAAAGAGAAAAATTGTCGGGTTATCCCATTTTGCGGATTATTATTTTCTTATTCAAAAATAATTCAGAAAATGGATCTGGGGGAAATATAAGACAATTTTTGCAGAGGTCGAATATACGATTGTTATATGTCAGTCGAAAGCTCTTTGAAAACTGAGTCGAACTAGGGGTGGCGAAAATTAATCAGACAATCAGGGTTCGAGTTACAGACTTTTGAAAATCGAAACACACCAAAATAGCCGTAATTGAACAAGTTTGGACCGAGATATACTATAAGGCCTCCGCAAAAAAAAGTTTGCCGGGCATGTCGAGCCGGTGTAATGTGTTATACCGATGTCGAGCAGCACCGAAGACACGACCGCGGCGATGCACGGCCATCGTGTATCGAAGACAATGCCCGGCCTACTACGAGCAGCACAAAAACTTATTTCTGCGAAGAATCTGTCTATATTTCAAATTTCAAGTCTGCAACTCGAACCCTGATTGTCGGATTAACTTCCCCCACCCCTAGTTCGACCAATTTTAAAAGAGCTTTCGGCTGACATTAACTCGATTGTCTTATACTTCCCCAGATTATGGGTTGGTTACTGATTTTTTTATTCAACTAAATTATTGTCCGCACATACTGTCCGCAAAGATTAGTATTTTTGAATTAATAAATTAGAATTCAATAAATTATATAACACATAAAATTCTAGCGCCCACACAAAATTTTTTGTTCGACTCCAGTAACTGTTAAAGGCGAAAAAGATTTGGAAATGTATTTTTTTGAAGATGAGATTTTAAAATTGAAACAACAACTCAATGAAGATAGAGAAAATTTTAATGATAGAATAAGTATGTTGGAAGCAAAATATTTTGCTTTAAGGGGACGAACTTATGTATTGGAGGAGGAATATTTCAAATTTTGTCGGGAATTAGACAAAATTAAATCAATTATTGCAAATAATTTACAAATTGACAAGTCTGTTTTAATATTTTTTAAAAATTGTTATACCATTATTTTTACGAGTTTAATATTTTTGGGGTTTAAAAACTTATTATTTAATCAAGGAGAAACACGCCCCTTTCAGCTTTTATCTCTTGATAAATATATTTTTAACTTTGACCGGTAGTCTTTGGTTTCCGTCCAGTTTTTTAAATTATTACCTTTTCGGGCTAGTCCAACCCGAACATTTCCAATATACGTATTTTTTCGTGCCCGGGTACGAAACTTAATCCTTACGGATCCGGCCCCAGAAGATCAACTCCAAATATTTTGGCTGATAAAAGGAAATTAAGATCAAGATTATGTTTTCCACCATTTCCTCCTTCATCCGTTCCCATCCCTCCCCTTTCGAACTATTTGAATAAAGAGAAACACACACCTTCCAGCTTCAATTCTTCTTTTTACAAATCTATATTTTATTTTTACTCTGATTTGCCTCTACTATTAAGGTTGGCGAATCATGACAAATTATCGGGTATTTACTTCTTGAAATTTGGAATAAGCCATTCCTAACAGATAATTTACAATGCCCGGGCCTCGCCGGGATTCGTCAATCTTACTCGCTATTATTTTTCTCTTTTATTTTTGCTCATTAAAAAAATAATTATATAATAATAATAAAGATATATAACTACCTAATAAGATATATAATATAACTAAATAAAGGATAATAATAAAGAAAATAAAAATAATAAAATAAATGATAATTTCTAATATTAATAAAAATAACGATAGAAAAAAAAATTAAAATTATTGTCTAATAATAATAATAATAATAAAATTAATAAAAAAATAATAATTAAAAAAAAAGAATTAAAAAAAAACACAATTTAACTATAGCACAGATTTACACACTCATTCTTTTATTTTTTACAGATCTAAAATGTTAGATGATAAAATTTTAGGGTGTGTTTCTCCTTATTTATTTTATGAAGGACATCGAGGTAAAAAATCTATTCTGTAAAAAAGTATTTTCAAAGTATTCTGTAGGTTTGAAGAATTTCCATTTAAGGCGAGTATATCCGCCCATCAGTTTTCTTCATATTTCATTTGTTCTGTCCTTTTGTAAGGGGTGTCCTATTAAATATCTCATACCTGCGAAATAAGGTTGGCTGATAGTTGGAAATCTTCGGATATCCGGTTTCTGGATATCCGGCCTTTTTAGGATTCGGTAAAGCCCGATTGAGAAACGGCCGGTTGATTATCTAGCCATATTTTAGGCCATAACTTTTCAATCTTAATTGATTTAAATAATTAATATACCAATCGAAAGCTCTGGATGTGAGGATTATTTTCGCCAACAGGAGTGATTTGATCAGATCATCATACAAAAGGTTACAGCTAAATAAAGGTGAAAATTACGATTGCACGCATTTATCTGAATGTAAATTTTTGTATGATAATCTGATCAAATCAATCCTGTTGCCAAAATAATCCTCACATCCAGAGCTTTCGATTGATAAAAGATTTATTCGAATTGGTACAAAAAACAAAAAGTTATGGCCCAGTTACTCAACCGGCCGATGTTCAAACGTCCCCTACCCTTTGGATCCGGATATCCGGATCCGCCATCCTTGCGAATTACCTTTAAAATTAAATTTAATTTTTAAGAGAATAACTTATCAACATGCTTTGATTATTCCATGTGCAACTTAATCTTAAAAAATAAAAACGAGGCCAAAAAATCAAATTCTAAAAAAATTACTTTTTCAAAATATAAAGAAATCTTTTATATTTAGAGGATTTTTAATTTTTTTACTATTTAGTTTATTAACTTTTTTTCTAAAAAAATCTAATTTCTTTTAAAAAAACTTTTCGTTTATGTATTTTTTTCTGATAGATATTTCAAAAATTAATCAAAAAAAAAATTTTTTATCAAAAAAAAAATTTTTTATATATCAAAAAAATTTTTTATATATCAAAAAAAAATTTTTTAACTAATTTATTTTATGTTTTTGTTTCTCTTCTGGTATATTTCCACAAATTTTTTGGCTGTAATTTAGCCAGTGGCCGAAAAATCATAGGCTGAAGTAATTTTTGGGGTAAGAAGTTGAATTATTCAAATAAAAGTTCATTCGAAAAAGCTCCTCGACTAGGTTAGAATGGCTTCAAAATCAGTCTAATTCAATAATTCTAAACAAAAAGTATGACCTTCTGCTAAAGTCCAGCTAAGGATTTTTGGGCATATAACGAAAAGAGTAAAAATATTTTTATATTTGTAAATCTTTTAATTTATAAAAAATTTATTTTCTAATTTATTTCACGATAAAACTTTATTTCTTTTTTGTTTTTTTATTAAAATAAAAATATACAAAAAAACCCTGCATTTTTAAGGGGTATACGAACATTTTCTTTCCTAACTCCAGAAATAATTGACCAAAAATTCTCAAATTTTTACACAAAATAGAAAACACATTTAAGAATATCCTTGCCAAATTTCATGAATTTAGGTGCTCATTTGTTCATTTTATCTAAACTCGCGCCTACTCAGACCGCGCCTAGACGCCTACCAAAAATACAAGGTAAATAAATAAATACAACTTTAATTAAATAAATCAACCTTTTTTGGTTATAATTTATTTTTATTTCCTGCTTTTTAATCATCCTTTTTTTATTCTTTGATATCTCTTTCCCTTTCAACTTTCGCAAAAAAAGCTTTTAATATTTATAGACTAAATAAGCAGGTTTTAATCTTTTTCGCTTTTTGGGCTTTTTTTTTATTTTTATTTATTGTTATTTTTAATGCCAAATTTTTAAGTTAACTTTTCTGTCTTGCCAACATAAATTAAAATGTTGGTAATACTTTGGAATTCGACTTTTTCCCTTCATACATGTTTCCCTTGAATGCTATGAGGGGTGATATTATTAAAATGTTATATCTGGGATAATAAGAAGCGATCACGAAACTGAAAGCTTTTTAAGCCTTACCTTATTCTTGCAATACAGAGATTTGAAAAACTAAAAACTATAAAGGAGACCAAGCTAAATATTTCGAGTTTTCATAACTGCTTTGTAAGCCTGATTTTTAAAATAAAGACAAATACTTTCTCTAAATTAGAACCAGTTACTAATTTTAAATTTTGGAAATTTAAAATATTTCTTAAAGAATCGTAAGAGATGATTTATACAAAATTTGGAATAATTTTTAAAATAATTTTAGGGATAAAAATTCCCCTCTGTTTAAAAGTTCAAATGCTCAAAAAAACTAATAATAAATTCCGGCAATTTTCACTTGCAATTTTATTTTTAATATTATTTTCATCAAAATATAAAGTCAAAGCTTTTTCTAAAAGTACAACAAGTCTAGCAACAATCCCTCCAAGTGATGAAGTTGTTAAACCGAGAACCTGGTCTAGGCCTACAACAACAACTACAAGTACAACAACCACCACTACAACCACAACCAGCACAACTACAACCACCACAACAACAACATTGACTCCTAGACCTAGACCCCAACGTTGTCGTGATAAGGACATGAATTGGTTATTTTTTTTGAATATTTTATAAAGCGTCTTCCTAACCAAAATTTAAGGTGAAAGGTAGGGCAAGAAAAAAGTGGGAAAACAGGAGTTGAAAAAACACAAAATAGCCTCTCTTATCTAAGTTGGCCTTCTATTAAAGAGCTTCCAAAATCGTAGCATCTTCAAATCCCTACTCATAAATACATGAGTAAATTCCTAACTAGAGTAAGACAAGAGGTAGAAGTTTAGCCCCGAGCAAGGATTGATCCTGAGACATTACGACAGTTTATTACTAGTCGTTTTCGCTCACCACTTATTTGAGGAGTGCACGGATGTACTCAAAAAATGGAATATTCCAACGAGGGAACTTAAAGATTATTAATATCCAAATCTGACTTACATCCCGACTTAAATTAAATTTATTTTAAATCTCTTACTTATCTCAACATTCAAAAAATTTTTTTAAAGTGCTCTATGGGTCGCCCACCAACCAAATAGATGCGAAGAGGATTTGGAAATGCTTCCTTTTTGTCGACTTTCTTGTCGAATATGTGGAAATAATACTTTAGAATTTCCGGATATTGAAGAAAGTAAAGAATAAAATTTTTAAAAATATTAATTTTTTTTTAATTAAAAAACAGAATATGATCTAAGAAAAACACCTCCATCTCTACACAAATTAGCCTTTTTAATTGGCCGTTGGAGAAGTGATTTTGGAGGAAAGGCCGATTTTCCAACTATTCCTAAATTTACTTACGGAGAAGAATTAGATTTTAGTTTAAGTACAGTAATGAAAATGCCTGTTTTGAATTATAGGTAAATTAATTAAGTAGAATTTATTAAAGAATTTAAAATAATTTTTTGAAGGGGAAAATAATTGTTTGAAAACAAGGGAATTAAGAAAATAAATTTTTTATTAAGGGGTTTTTGTGATTTTATATTTTCTGATTTTTTATTTCTTATTTCTATGAAGGGAATAAACAATATTTGAAATAATATTAGAATGAAAAAAGTTCTTAAGAAAAAGTTCGACCGGGTTTATAGGATAAAATTAATTTGGAAGAAAGTGGGAACTTGTTGATAGGGGTGAGTCGGATTGAGAAAAAAAAGTCGGGCCAGATTTTCAAATTTCCTTCGGATTGGGTTGTGGATCGAAAAAAATAAGGGTCTCGGGTTGGGGGAAAGGGGAAAATAATTTTGTGAAAACAAAGTGGGGAGGGTGGGGGTTGATTGAATAAAAGAAAAGACTCCCTTTCATTCTATATTTTTCATTTTTGAATAAAAAACTTAAAAAAACTCTTTTAAGTGCTTTTGCTTGGGATAATTCAGAACATAATTTAACTGAATTACACAGCGAAAATGGTTTTATTGCTGGATCACCCAATACTTCATTAATTTCAATGAATACAGTAATGAGTAATGGTTGGGATTGAAATTTAACAAAAAATTCTTTTTTGAAAATTAAATTTTAAAAAGGTTTTGTAACAATTGAAGAAGGTGAGGAAAAGGATAAAAGTATACGTTTTGAATTACAAAGGATTGGCCGTATTAAATTTTCTAGAGATTTGCCTGTTAGAAGGGTAAGTTATTTAAATTAAAAATTTTTAAGAAGGTAAATAGTGATCTGGGAATCCGGGAAAGGAGGGAGAGGTGATCCGGGAAA